CAAACAAAACAAGCTAAAAGCTACAAAAGGGTGTATATTAGTCTGTTTCTGTTGCTTATAACAAAATACTTGAAACTGGTGATTTATAAAGAAAATGAAATTTATTGCTTACAGTTTCTGAGGCTGGGAAGTCCAAAGTCCATCTGTCGGTGATGACAGTGACCAAGGGGTCTCACATTGCAAGATAGTGGAAGCAGAGAGAGCAGAGAGAAAGACAGACTCTCCTCTTCTTTTAAAGCCCTCAGAACCACACCCCTGACCACCATTAACCCATTTACTACTGCACGGTCCTATAATCCAATCATCTCTTCAAGGCCCCACCTTTCAATTACCATAATAGGATTTCACACTCTCTTACCAGGGGGCTAAGTTTCTAATACATAAAACTTGGGGGACACAATTCAAGCTTCAGTGAGTTTTGGGGAGACATAATTCAATCCACTACATTCTGCCCCAGCCCCGCAAAACTCATGTCTTTTCATATGCAAATACATTCATCTCATCCCGAAAGCCTCAACTTGTTTCAAGTCAAAAGTCCAAAGTCCCATCTGTGAAATCAATACAAGTTATCTACTTGCAAGATACAATGGTGGGACAAACATAAGGTACATACTCCCATTGAAAAAAGAATAGGCCAAAAGAAAGGGGTAACAGGTCCCAAACAAGTCCAGAACCCAGCAGGGCAGGCATTAAATCTCAAAGCTGGCGAATCATATACCTTGAGTTCATGTTCCACGTCCTCTGCATGCTGATGTGTGGGTTGGTCTCCAAGTCCTCAGGCAGCTCAACTTCTATGGCTTTCCTGGTCTCAGTTGATGCTTTAGCTCTCACAGACTAGTGTTCCATTCTGGTAGCTCCACAGGGCTGGGGTCTCCAGGGTGGTCCCACTCTCATGGCTCCACGAGGCCTGGGGTTTTTCTGCTGCAACTCTGACCCCACATTTCTGCTTGGCATTGCGAAGGCTCTATGTGGTGACTCCACCCCTGGGACAGATCTCTTCCTGGACCCCGGGACATCTCCAAACATCCTTTGAAATCGGGGTGGAGGCTCCCAAGCCTTCACAGCTCTAGCATTCTGTGAGCCTGCAGACCTAACACCTTGTGGACTCCACCAAGGCTTCTGGCTTGTGTCTTTCAAAGCTGCAGATCTATCCATACCTGGGGCCAATTTAGCAAAGGCTGTAGTAGAAGGGGTGCAGAAAGCAGCTTCCCACGGTGGTCTTGGGCAGTGAGCCCGCGGAGGGTGCCTCGGGCCTGTTCCCCGAGACCATCCCATGTCCCTAGACCTTTGGGACTGAAATGGAAGGGTTGGCCCGAGGCTTCTGTAATGCCTTCAGGACATTTTCCCCCTTTTCTAGATAATCCCATTCTTTTGTGTTAATCTTCTTAGCACCACTGAATTTTTCTTCTTCTTTTTTTTTTTTTCCTTTTTGTCTTCTTTTTTTATTGACCGGTAACGGGATCGCAACCCTCGGTGTCGCGCCCGTACCGGGGACCGGCAACGGGATCGCAACCCTCGGTGTTGGGATCGCAACCCTCGGTGTTGCGCCCGCACCACGCTCAGCCAGTGAGCGGGAACCGGTCTCCACATGGGATCCGAACCCTCGGCGGGAGCGCCGCCACACTCCCAAGTGGCGCACTCTCCAGTGCGCCACCGGGCTGGCCCCCGAATTTTTCTTCTGAAAATGCTCTCTGCTTCTCTACCACATGACCAGGATGCAAACTTTCCAAATGTTTACACTCTGCTTCCATTTTATATTCTGGCTTTATGTCATGCCTTTGCTGCCATAACTCAGCGTAGGCTGTTGCAAGCAGCCATGCAGCTTCCTTAATGCTTTGCTGCTTAGAAATTTCTTCTGCCAAAAATTTTGGTTCACAGCTCTTAAGTTCCAACTTCCAAAGTCCTAGGGCACACACACAATGCAGCCAAGCTTGTCAGTTCACAGCAAGGGCGAACGTTGCCCCAGTTTCCAATAAACTCCTTCTTATTTCTATCTGAGACCTCCTTAGAGGTCTTTACAGTCCATATTTCCATCAGCATTCTGCTCGCCACCATGTAACCAGTCTCTAAGACACTCCAAACTTTCCCTCATCTTTTTGTCCTCATTTGAGTTCTCCAAACTCTTCCAACCTTTGCCTAACACCCAGTTCCAAAGCCACTTTCACATTTTCAAGTATTTGTTACAAGCAACACCCCATTTCTCTAGTACAAGTGCTCTGTATTAGTCCATTTGCGTTGCTTATAACAAAATACAAGGAACTGCATGATTTATAAAGAAAAATGAAATTTATTGCTTACAGTTTCTGAGGCTGGGAAGTCCAAAGTCCACCTGGTGGTGGTGACAATGACCCAAGGGTCTCACATTGCAAGATGGTGGAAGCAGAGAGAGAGCAGAGAGAAAGACAGACTCTTCTCTTCTCTTAAAGCCCTCAGAACCACACACCTGACCACCATTTTTAATCCATCCACTACTGCGTGGTGCAATCACCTCTTCAAGGCCCCACCTTTCAATTACCATCATAGGATCTCCCACCCTGTTAACAGTCACAGTGGGGGCTAAATTTCTAATACATAAAACTTGGGGACACAATTCAAGCTTCAGTGAGTTTTGGGGGGATATAATTTAATACACCACAGGGTGTGTTGTCAGGAACCAGGAAAGGACTGGCCTACTGTCTGGAGTTAGTGCTACTATCTCTGTCTAAGGAAGTGATGAAGGCCAGGATGAAGCAGCACTCAACTGTCCGAAAGAAGTTTAAGTCTTTTGGCTTGGACCAATTATGGATAAATTAACATTTTTATGGAGCTTAAGTTTATGAAGTACTTCCTCCTGTTATATGTAAATTGTTACAGTTACTATATTACTTAGTGTACTAAAAATATAGGTAGTTTCATAATCTTGAAAGAATCACTAAATTCAGAAGAGGTATGGAAGACTGGGGATGGGCAAATATCCTAATTTTTGAAACTGGAAAGAAGGTGGTGAATCTTCAAATACAGACTTGTGGACTTCATACTGACATGCAGCACTATATTAGAATAGATAATTTTAAAAGATGTCTTGTGATGTCAAAGAAAACTTGGAAGTCGGGTGGACAGGCATACTGTCTCTCCCTCTCTCTCTTTTTTTTGAAAAATTAAAACACTGTTCATATTTCACATGTACATTTTTGTCTCCCCACCATCTCCATGTCTGACCACCACTACTACTATGGCCTATCATGACATTCCATGCATACTTAAAACCAAGCAAAGGGTGGAGTTCCATCTTAAAAACTAAACAGGCTTTTCGGACAACACATTCTTGGCAATGGAACCTGGACAACATTTATCAAAATTCTTATTCTGCATTATAAAAAGGACAGCCAAATATCAACTGATATGGAAACGAAATAGGACGGAAAATTTTAATAAATTGTTTAAACAGTTCTCTTAAAGAGACTTCCTCCACTGCCAGAGACCCTCAGCAGCCTCCCGGTCATTCATCCAGAAGCAATTCTTCACATGATTGATGAACGTGGCTTCCACTCTGGGAGAAGAACCACGTTTTTCTATAGTTGCTTGCATTTCTGCTTTAACGTCTTCTACAGAACTAGGTCCTTTTGGTGTTTTAGGAGTTTTTTCCTGTTTTTTGAAGGATTCTTGACCTTTTGATCCTGGTGTTGACAGTTTTGAGTCTTTTCCATTCTGGTTTGATTTTTGTCCATTTTTGGCTGGAGTATCTTGTACAGATTTCTTCACTGGAGCTTTTTGTTCAGTTTTCTCCTCATCAAAGTCATCATCATCCTCTTCATCAGCAGCCAGTTTTACCTTTTCCTATGGAAGCTTGCTACCACTTCCAGGGCAGATCGCTTTCCAGACATACTTAAGACTTTCACTTCCTCCTCCTCTCCACCTTCTGATTCTGCATCTTTCTCCACAGCTACTAAGTGCTGTCCACTGATGTGCACAGGCCCTGAGCCACACTTCAACAGTAAGACCACAGGTGGTGTTATCTCAAAGCCCCTCAGGGACACCACAGGCTGTGCAGACATTCTCAGGGCTGCCAGTATTACTTTGACTGTGCTGCCCTCATAACTCGCTGCCTCTGCTTCAACATCGCGCGGTTCATCCTTTGCACCAGCCCCTAAGCCGACCATTCTCAAAGACGACTGGTGCTCATTTTCATCATTATCCACTTTAAAGTGATCATCTTTGTTGGCCTTTAGTTCAAAACAGAAAAGACAGTTCTGGGGCTTTGGGAGGCTTATGTCCATGTCCATCGAATCTTCCGTGGGGTGGTGGCATGCACTTAGGTGGGAGAGAAGACGGATGGAGACAAATGACTACTGCTCTGAAGAACAGCTGCACAGGACGGAATCACACCAGGGCTGCCTCTATCTTTTTAAAGACATGTGACAACGTCTTTGTGAAACCTTGTGAACAAACTGTGAACCTGGGGGTGAGCAATAACATAGATTGGGAGATTCACAAATAGTTGAACAAAGAATATTGATCCAATGAATCGATGTCAATCAATAGGGAAGTGTTTGTGATATCCTTTTTTTTTTGAAAGATGACCGGTAAGGGGATCTTAACCCTTGACTTGGTGTTGTCAGCACTAGGCTCTCCCAAGTGAGCGAACCAGCCATCCCTATATAGGATCCGAACCCGTGGCCTTGGTGTTCCCAGCACCACACTCTCCCAAGTGACCCATGGGCTGGCCCTTGTGATATACTCTTATCAGTGACTCAGTCGTACTGAGGAATCAGATAAGACTTTTGACGACATACTTATCAAAATTGCTTAATATATAGTGTTAAAAAGACAGCTAATATATTAGGTAACAAGATCAGGAACCAGAGACCAGGGAAATGGCCCAATTTAATAAGACAAAGTTTAAAAGGGATAAGTATCAAGCCCTTCACTTAGTGGTCAAAAACTAAGCCATACCAACACAGGATGGTGACTGGATGGGGTAATTATAACTTAAAAACTTCAGAAGGTTTGAGTCAATGGTGAGTCAAGTATGCTAATGTGATACCAAGAGGCATTATTACCAGTTGAATACCAGGTGAATACCCAGAATAAGGGGAGCGATCCTCCTATTTTTCACAAAAGTGGCCAAACTACAAGGGGGAATATTGTATTTAGTTACAGGTGGTATAACTTAAGAGGGATGTTCACAAACCAGAACCTTTTTAGTGAAGAGATGAGGACAATAAATGGATTCAAATGGTTGACACGCTTAGCTGAGAGAAGTTTTAGGTAAGACTTAGGAGCTGTCTTCAGATATCAGAAGCACTCTCTGTAGAAAGGAGAATGTATGTTATCTGTAATAACCAAGAAGATGAACGGAACTAAATGAGAAGAAACTTGAAGGAAGTAAGAATTTTCCAGGGTTAACACAGGCATCATACAAAATAAGAATGTTTAACAATTTCATTTTTATAAGTTACAAGGCCACAGAGCTATAGTAGAATGTCAAGCTCCCATGGTCCAGTTGACACTGATATGGTCCGTCTGGCAGATGCAAAGTAATTTTTTTTTTTTTTTTTAAAGCCCGGGGCCTTGGTGTTATCAGCACCGCACTCTCCCGAGTGAGCCACGGGCTGGCCCCAAAGTAATTTTTAAAGCTAGTTCTCATGTAGTCAGTACTCCCTACTGCACTAATGCCAACAACTCTACCCTCAGCTCTGCCGTGTTGTAACTCCAGAGGGCACCGTTCACATAGCAGATAAAGACTAAAAATGTGCACGGTGTCCCAGGAGGTGTGGATCACACATTCTATCTGTACTCCCCCAGAACAATCTCTTGTTCTCCTTAGTCTTCAGCTATACTGTTACTGGGTTCTCAGCAGCATCTTCAGGCCCTGGACCCTGCCATGCCCCAGCCCAACTCCTCCCCAGGACATGCAGTCCATGCTACAGACTGCACGGCCTTAATGCCCACAGGTATCTCCATGTCAAACCTTCAGGAGTCGACACCGCAAGTAGCTGTTAAGGACATAGCGGATCCTCTCCATCTCCATTCGATGAATGCTGACCTTCAGGTCCCCCTTTTTGGCTCTCCTGACATTTTCTTCCTATTAAGAGAGAAACTAAAGTTTATAAACATGATATTCAAGGACTAAGGACCATCATCACTGGCAACATTGAGGACCCAAAGATGATGTTTCAGTACAAGGAAAACAAAAAACTCATCACATACAACATATACAGAGTTCTCATTTTTAAAAAAATTTTTAATTACACAAATAATATAGGACTATGGCCTCACTGTATAAAGTTCCAACAATACTCATTTATGTTAGAAAATGACCATTTGAATAGAATCTTAACACAGTCAGCCAGAAGAGCCCAGAACCCCAATCTAATTGTAAAGGAGATAACATAACACAGAAGAAATGTGTAATACGTCTAAAAAGCAATGTTAAAACACCCATTGAGAAACTGTAAAATACCAACTTTTTTTTTTTTTTTTTTTTTTTTTTTTTCTTTTTTC